TTGAGGAGTCTGAGCTGGTTGTCCTCTGGAAATCTGTATTTGAAGCATTTCAGTGAGCTTAGTCATGTCTGACTTCAACTCATCGATTTCCATTTGGATCTCTACATTGTATGTCTCTTGCTCTGACATCTTAATGTCTATAGTTAGCCCTGGTCTGATATCTGTGTCGAGGAATCAGCTTGACGACTCAAAGGTACACTGGACGATAAAGACAACTGGACATGAGAAACCTGGGGAAAGATGCCATGCAAGACATGATGCTAATGCAATGCAATAGTTTCAAGAACTTCAACGGTCGATTGCAAACATTTCTTTTTTAGGAAAGTTGGAAACAATTTTAAAATTTGAAATATAAGACTTTTGAATTCGCAAAGGACTGTTGAATTCCTTGAAACTAGGAATGATGTTTTATGAATGCCATGCACAAATACACACAAACAACAAAGTCCTAGGTTAGAGGAACAATGAATGAAGTTAAGGTCTACCCTTCCCCAAAGGTATGTATTATGGGGTAGTTGTACCTGCAGAACAAGGTTCTAAAGCGGTGCCCAAAGTCATTAATCCATCTTTCGGATATTATCAACTTTCCGACTGACTCGGGGGTCGATAATATCCTCAAGAGAACCTCATTTGAGTGTAGTATCGCGTAGCAACCATTGTAGGACTACTCCCACATAGTTCCCGCACTACGTCCTATATAAGGCCAAGATGGTGTTAAGGTACTACGGTCCCCAGTATCACAGACTCCAATTGAAAATAGTAAAAGTTTTCACGACTGCACTCGATCAACCGAACCATTTTCGAAAGGGTCTCAACTGAGCGGTGATTCTCGAGTCAACTTGGTCGGGACTCACTCCCGGCAAGCCTCGTCGAATATCTCACCTTCCTATAATAAGATCACTCAAGTCCGGGTTAGGACTTATCTCATAATAACAGGTATCCCCACAAGGTACAATGATATATAAAAATAATTAATAAAATATCATACAATAAACAAAATAGGGGTAACCCTTAAAAGTTAGGAGGGTCCCCAGTGAAGTCGCCATTTTCTGTTGCGGTTAGAATATGATTTCAAATTATTAATTAATTTGAATCGCATCTTTAGTTCACAACCGCTCTTTGATTTATCCGAAGGAAAAGGTCAAAAGAGGAAAACCTAATTTTGCATCGTAAAGACAATGCAGGAAGAGATCTAGGTAAGGGGTTGGTTAAGCTTAGGGAAGGTACTAGCACCCTAAACTTCTGTAGTACTCTACAGGAACCTTTTGTTTATTGTATGCTTTTTTATTTTATTATTTGTTTGAAATATATTGCTAAGGGATAGAGTGACCTAAAGACCTAAGGGTTAGTCCTAAGTTTACTCGGCAAGACGTCGCGTCTTGTGCCTACGTATCCTGGATAGGGAATGGAATCAGAGTAATCGTAGTTCCCCTCGAAAGGGAGGTTAGAAACGTCTTGACTGTGGTCAAGGTTTCAATGGGGAATAAACGTATCTTAAGGACACGCTTATGTGGAGTCTTTGAAACTCCTATTTCTACGTTGAATTTGTTAATTAAAAATTTAGGGTTGAAATTAGGGATTCCACGGCGGGAAACCCTAAAACAAAGTACGGCGACTCTTTGACCTAAAACTAGGGTAAAGGGTATTTTTGTCCACGGCGGGACGCCTAGGTTAATTAGGGTTTGAGACGGCTAAAACTAGGGTTATTGACTCGGCGGTCAAACAACTAGACCTAATTCCTTCGGAGGGAATTCTAACGGTAAAACATGCAAACATGACAAAATATTATACGGCAAAATTAAAGTGCGGAAAGTAAAGAAAGCGTCGCGACGATCACTCGCGTAAATTACAAATCCCAAAAAAAACAAAAACAAAATAAATCGCGACCATGGCCTCGCGTAAATTACATCCATGGAACAAAATAAATTAAAATAAATATGAATCATAATCTATGTATAATCTGAGGAGAGAAACAGAGAACGTTAGTGAAAAGTTAGACGAAAATATGGCAAACATATTTTATATTAAAAGAAACACGAAAATGCAATTTGGAATTTTTATTATTGTTTTGTTAATTTTTATATTTTTTATTAAAATTTTAGTCTTAATTTTAAAAGGTTTTAATTTTTAAATAAACAAAACTTTAGTTTTAACTTTTTATCTTTAGAAAGTTTTAATTTTAATTTTAATTTTTAAAAGAGAAAGTCTTAAATTAAAAAAAAACTCTAATCATAAGTTTTTTTTTTTTAAAAGAAGAAGTTTACATAAAAAAAAAAGGTTCGTTAGTCTTACTTTAAAAGAATGTTAGTTTTAAAATTTTAAAGAAAGTTTTAGAAAAAAGTTTTAACCCTTTCTAACATGTTTTAATTTTTAATCTTTAAAACTTAAAAAAATGTTAATTTTAATACTTAAAAAAAAGTTTTAATTTTAGGACTGGGTTAATTTTAAGTTAGTAAAAATGTTTTCACTTAACTATAAAAGTGTTTTAAACACTGTTTATTTATTAAAAAAATTATTAGTGGTTAGTGTTTTAATTAAGAAAAAGTTTTAAGTTTTTTACTTACTGTAATTATAATCAAAAACTGGTTTTAGTTATAATTCACAAAAAGGGTTTTTAGTTAGAAAAAAAGAAAAGGTTTAAAAAATGAAATGAGAGTTTAATTATTTGGAAGAGGTTTTAATTGGGATAACATAAAAGCTTACATTTCAGTTGCCGGTTGGTGATGCTTTCGCTTGTTCTTCGCCGGCGGCAATGGTTCTCAACGAACTTCTTTGGATCTCTTTTCCTCTTTCTCAAATGGAGGTGATGATGATGAGCTTCGAAACTCTTCTGAACCTCCGGATCTTGACGACCGCCGTTTTTCTTTTTGTCTCCTTTTCTGATGACCTGTTCTTGATTTTCTGATGTGAATGAAGTTTCCTCCCATCACTTAGGTTTATATAGGTAACAAATTAGGGTTAGCTCTAACCTAATTCCCACTTTAAAGCCCAACTTAAAGAATTAGTCAAAACTAAATTAAAACAAACTTAAAACAACTTAAAACTCTATTTATTTACTAAATATAATAAAATATTTTCTAATATTTTTAATTTTTTGATTTTTTGATGTTTTTTATGAATAATATGGAAAAAGGTGAAAAATAATATTTTTAAAAAAATAATTTAAATAAAATACGAAAATAATAATTAAATAATTAAAAAAAACTATTTTTGTTATTTTTTTTATGAAAAATAGAAAAGTTAGAACAAAAATAAAAGAAAAACAAAAAGTGAAGAAGGTGGGATTTGAACTCTCGACCTCTCACACTCACAACTCCTTACACACGGTCTCTTGCCAATTGTGCCATTTTATTCATTCAAAATAAAGTGGCACTAGAAACTATGTAAAGGTAGGACAAATTTGGGGTGCAACAGCAGGCATCCCTAAAAGAATCATGTTGAGTCTCGCCAACTTTACTATTTGCTTATAAGAAGTAGGTCCTTTGACGACAGTCAACATCGTTCTCAGATGAAAAAGTTCCCTAATAGTAGGTGGTACCCAGATTAAGAGGCCAATAATGAACCTTTTTTTTTGTGGTTTCCATAATATAATTCTCTTTTCATATAAAAAATTAGTCACAAATTCAATGTAAGTCAAGTTATGGGCTTTTTCATATTTTACATTTGCAACTAGCCAAGCTGGGAATATTGATTTGGTTACACTTGCTTTTTCTAGTATGTTCTCCATTCTATCAAAATCAGTGTAGTATACAGGTTTCTCCCCAATCAGATGAAAGAACATACGTTCCATAATAGGCTTGCACCCATGAAATCTATAACCAAAAGTCTGCCAACATGCTTCACTTGGTGAGACGTACCTACGATCCAGGTATTGTCTGATCTCATCAATGGGTTCATCTTCTTGCAATCTTCTGGTTGTTGTATGTACTATAGTGGTTGTGATTCGGTGATAACCCTTGTATATGTATTTGAAAAGATATTTGATCGAGGTACTTTGGTTACACCACTCCATATTTATATGTGTGTGATATTTCAATAGCACCTTTGTGTTATACGACACAACACACCTGTTGTCCAAAGGAATGCCATTTTTGTGAATAACGTGTGTATTAAATCTTCTTCTGTATAGTGAATAACCCTTCGACATCAACAATTCTAGTCTCAATGAATTTCTATGGAAAGTATTTCTAACACTTTCTATTCTTTATACATGGGGAGGATAGTCGTGATAGACCACGTGGACCATAGATCATATGTGCCTTGACTAAGTTATATAAATTTGGATGCAGTTCAGGGTTTGGACTCTATGCACAAATGATATCATCTATGTCAGCTGGTGTCAGATACTTGCTTTAAATGTGCAAGAAGATTACAATGTGAGCATGTGGTAAACCTCATTTTTGAAATTCAATGGTTTACAGGTCTGAAAATCAAAATTCATAAAACTGTCAACTATAATTATCGAAAAAGAATTAAAATCAAATTTTAATGAAGTCTGTAAGACGTACACGCCAACACTCATCCAAGAATATGCCTTTTAGTTAAATCTACCATGAGCTCATCAAATTTGATTTTGAAAACTTTAGAAATTATGTATGGTTGATCATGTGGCTTTAAATTTTTATTTGAAAGCAACTGTGTGATTTCAGACCAAGTAGGATTGCAAATAAATGTTCTAAATAAATCAGGGAAGCCTATCTTACTTGAAATCGACAAATCGTTAAAATATAGTTGATCCACATATCTCTTGCTTCCAACAAAATAAGATGGCAACATAACTCATTTTCCCTTTTTCCCCTTCCACTCTGTTGATTACTTTCAGATTGTCCCTGCAAGTTATTATATTTTCTAAGTCTTAAATTAGATTGATGCTTCCTCAACCAATTAAGACTTTCAGACTCCATCATAGCGTAACCATCCACCAAGGTTTGTTGGAATATTTTTCTTGAATACAACAATGTTGTAGCCTCATTTGTGTGTTTCTGTATGCGGAAAGAAAGTTAATCCTTGATGGACTGTCGATTTTTTCTTGTGACCAAATGTTCGTTCTTATACTTATGAAGTATGTTATCCCTATAACCATATTCACCATAGCAATATATCAAAAGGTATTGGTATGCCAGGTAACGTGGATGTAATTCAATTTTTCTTTGCAAATTACCATCACGTGCCTGGATAATGATGTCTCTTTGAGAACCTGACACAATATCACCAACAATTAGTGCAGCCACTTTAGAAACAGTTGGAATGTTATACACACATCCGTCCTCTGGTCTAGCAGTAATAAGCTTTAGCTTCAAGTATAATAACAAATTTGCCTTCACCATATCCCTATTCATTCTAAAGGATTTAGCATGTACGTTACCGATTCTTTAGAATGTTTACTCCTAAGTCCTTAGTGAGAAAACCTTTAATTGTCTACCCTAATTCTTATGTCCATAGAGAATTATAAGTGAGATTAAGCAATCATTTATCAAGAATTACTCCGGTTCTTATAGGGTATCCCTAGTCATAGGTGATATCTACTACAGAATAATCAAAATCAAAGCCTTAACAACGGCGGTCTAGCCTAATTGTTAATCGTAAATCATACTCTTTTGGTCCGACAGGGCAAGCATTAAGAATAGCTAGAGATCAAATCAGTTATGAAAACAATGGAAATGTCATTGCAATACTGATATCAGAGTCATTACATATTCAAATCAGGGACTCCCCCTAGCATATGATCGTATAAGTTATGAAAACAAAGGAAATGTCATTGCAATCCTCTTGATCTCTCCAATCTTGATTGTGTAATTCTTCTCTGGCCAAAAAAGTCCTCTTTTCCTTCTCAAAATATGTCTTAAATACTCCCAGATTCAACACAGTAATAGGAAAATATCCAAAATACCCTTAGGGATCACAAAGGGCCAAAAAATAATAAAATTGGAAGATGAATCGCTTCAGCCAACACGGGTCGTGTCAGCTGGCACGGGCGGCCGTGTTGGCCCCCTGGATATCTGATGCAAAACTTGTCTGTTCCAGACTTGTTGACACGGGCACCTGTGTCATCCCATTGTCTAACACACAACTTTCTTCATCTTGGTACCATCCTGACACGGGTCGTGTCAGGTGACACGGGTGGTCGTGTCAGGCCCTTGTTTCACTTCAAAAACTCTTCTAAATTCCTGCTGTTTTTTCCGGTTTTTGCTCTGATTCTTCTTGATTGCTTACCTGAACCTAAAAACAATGGAAATACCAAACCAATGCATAAAATGCGATAAAAGGACATAAAATGAAACTAAAAACATAAGACGATTAACTAAAACTCATGGTAAAATAGCATATAAAAACCACTGATCAACTACAAATAGAGGAACAGAAATCAGTCAGTAGAAATAAGATCATAATGGGTAAAAAGATATAGGTTAGTAAGGATCATAGTTACCCCTAGTGCCGCAACACCATGTTGACTTGTTGTTTTTCTCGCCAGTCTGGATCTTTGTGTACCTGATTTCATCCATCATTCCTATAATATTTGTTAAATTTGATACGTGGCATCAGGTTGGTGAAGATGAAAAAAACAAACAAATTTATTGATCAAACAAAATTCATACCTAGCAATGAATCCTTTTTCCATTGGCCAGTTATAATATCAGGAAATGGATTAAAGTTAATAACTTTGTCCTAGATTATATGTTTGCTTGTATCACCAATTGTGGTTCCTCTAGTGAACTTTATGAAAACTTAGGATTTGAAGGTTTGAAAGCCAACTCATTAACTTGAACCTGAAAGTTAGAAATTGTGCAAGTGTTGTTAACAACTAACTGTAAATCAAAACTCTTGCTATACAATGGCAGAACGACGACATGGATGCCAGTACCCTATTACAAGAAAGTAAAACACACAGTTCCATTTTAATCATCGAAACCTAACATAAGTAAAATTGTATGAATATGATGAAGAACAAATCTATTACACAGAGAATAACCCATTTCCAACTTATGAAACAACTTGAAAATCATTTTTGAAGATGAAATATCATAAACTTACGTATTTTTTGACGACAACCATCTCAAAATGTTTTTTCGTGTTAGAGACTACATTCCATCTATGATGAACTTTGGCAGCGATCTTCCAAATCTTCTTTGTGTCGTTAATGTCTTTGACATTCTCAAATGACCTTGCCGTTTATTCTGTATTTTTTTGAATAGATGAACAAAAGTTGAGAAATGAGAAAATAGCCAAAGAGAGAAAATCTTTAAAAAAACGAGATAAAAGATTTGCTCTGCAAGGAAGCAATGTGAAGATGATCAACTTTGACATGATGTTTGCTTTTTGAAAATACTGTAACTCTGAAGTGATGTTTTGGTTGAAAAAAAATTTGAAATTAATGCAGCTGGTCATTTAGCAGTACAAATGCAATGCATCAATGGTTTCAAATCAACTAAAAACCTGCTTCAGAGCATTGACTGATATACCCTTCAAACATGAGCATTGGACCAATAAAAAAAGGCAAATTTGGATTTTCCATAGTAGTTTGCTTTCTTATATGGTAGATTAACAATATAGATATTTCCACTTCTTGACTTAGTCAAAAGAGTTTGATTTGATTTAGCTTTTATAACCTGCACCTAGAAGAATAAAAATTGCATTTTTACCTTTGGCACATAATTAGCTAATACTTAGCAGATTATGCTTTTAAAAGTCAACTCAAAGAACCTCCCCAATTGTTGGATTGGGAAATTTACCTGCATTTTAGGGCTTAGGGTCCCTTTCTATAAGGCGGGATCATGTTTGCCTACTAAGTATTAGATTCTTTTGAAGCCATCATCCTGACATCGCTTTGGAAATTAATATCTTTATCTTTGGGCCATTTTCACTTCATGGACCATCTTTTTCCGTTGTGTCATAAATATGGGTTGAGATCAGATAATTCTTGTTTCATTAGATTATCTACTAGGATTTGGTCGGGTAGGATAATTGTTGTACACATTGAGTTCTTACTCCTATTACTTTTAATTCTTTTGAACAACAATAAATAAATATGTGTGTGTGTGTGTGTGCGCGCGCATCTTTATTAAGAGAAGGGTTTTACAAAGAAGCAACATGAAGTTTATGATAAATGTTATACACATTGAGTTCTTACTCCCATTACTTTTAATTCATTTAAACAACAATATATGTGTGTGTGTGTGTGTGTGTGTGTGTGTGTGTGTGTGTGTGTGTGTGTGTGTGTGTGTGTGTGTGTGTGTGTGTGTGTGTGTGTGTGTGTGTGTGTGCATCTTCATTAAGAAAAAGGCTTTACTTCTTTATATTTTGGCATATGGAATCAGGTCTAAGAACCTCAGGGACTCGATATCAGCATGTCTCCTTCGAGGGAGGAAGAGATTCATGCACCTCATGTCATCCCAGATCCCAGTGGATCAGTTCATGGAAGGCAATGACATGGATTATGACCATCCATGAGAGAGCCAACAAGATGATAATGAAAAACAAGTACTATTGAGAAACTTGATTGTAGCCATGAATAGGTAATCAACATTAATAGATCTACAAAATGAGAAACTTTGAGGGGAAGAAATCCCAAATCGCCACCGCTCCCAAAGTTCAAGAGATGAAGTCACCAATCCAAATGGAGGCTACCATGCCAGAGAGGAATGGAAAGAGGAATTCGAATATGTAGATCACGAGCTCCCTAGTTTGAGAGAGACTCCCTTAGACGTCATGCGAGAGAAGATCGGTGACCAAGGGCTTGTGGTCGACATAGGCAGAGAGTTATGTGATCTTCCTCCACGAGGGAGTCTGGGAGGAAAAGGAAGAAGGAGTATTCTGAAAAACTTTCACCATAAAAATCAACTAATGCGCTATCTAACGAGAGCACTAGAAACCAATGGGAATGGGCCCCTATGATAGGACGAATCGGACGAACACATAGAACTTATCGACGTACTCGTTAAATTATGAGGTACGAGTGGACTAAAGAAATGTAAGTTATTTATCCTTACTTTAAAGGTTGGAGCCATGGCTTGGTTCATGGGACTTATGAACGAATCCATTTATTCTTGGGGAGAGATCCATAGACATTTTTCGACACATTTCACAGCTTCCAAGGGGAAACCTAAATTCGTGGAGAGTTTTGGATCCATCATATAAGAGAAGGAAGAAACATTGAGATCTTACATAGAGAAGTCCAACAAAGAGTCTATATTGGTTAAATGTGGTGACTAAAAGATAGAGAAGTATCTCATCGGTCTTAGGTTGCACTTGGGATCCAAATTCGCCGAGAGTATCACCATTAAAGAACCAAGAACATTCAATAGCCTACTGGCCCAAGCTAAAACATACATACAATGCAAGGAAAAGCTGGTGGGTAAAAATTTTATCACTACGGAAAGATTCTATAAAAGAGAATCAAGCAAAAGAGTGTGTGATTACTAGAAAAAAATTCAGATTACCGAAAAAAAATTCGCTCTAATCGGGAAGGAAAAAAAGCACCATCAGTGAGATACCGAGACTATACTCCTTTGAACATCTCAAGGGAATGTATCTTGTAAAAGTGCATTAATATTGAATTCAAAGAAGCGCATATAGAGGCACCAAAATCTATTTATGAACATTTTGGAGTGGACAAAACCTCATATTATCAATTTCATTGATGCAACAACCACAATACCGACAAATGCGTACAACTGAAAGATGTCATATAAGATATAATTAAGAAAGGTAAACTATCAATATTTGCTCATACGGAAAAAAAAAAAATGTCTAGATAAAAGGGAGTAGAAGACGTCATCCTTATAAGGAGAAGCGAGACCATACATGCGGCAAAATATATCGTACTTATAACGTAATATATCTATAGTTTTTAGAGATGGATTCAGAGACTTTAAGTTGTGGGGGCGTCGTCATATTAGTTTATGAATCTGCAACATAATATATCTATTATTTTTCTAAGATAAAAATATATCGTATTTATAGCATAATATATCTATAGTTTTTCAGGGACGGATCCAAATATTAAGTTGTGGGGACGTCATATTAATTTATGAATTTTTAGCATAATATATCTATTGTTTTTCTAAGATAATAATATATATATCGTATTTATTTTTTGAGATATGTTTTTAAAAAATATTTAACAACTTGTTCAAATTTTTATTTTGGTAATTTTACCGATTTTACTATAAAAAAATATTTATCTATCTTTTATATTCTATATGTAAGTAACTAATAATGGTATAAGTAGTTATTTGTGATCTCTTGTAATGACATTTTAGTATTAAATTAAAATATATAAAACAATTTTTAAAAAAATAGTGAAAATTTATTTTGAAATTAATCACAAAACTAATTTTAC